TTACTCATTTTCGCGAAAGTAAGGCCGCGATCTCGCATGTAGATAAACGGGAAATACTTACCTGAACTATGAATTTCGATGGTGTCAGGATGCTTTTATGACAAAACTTTATGTACCATTAGTGTGTCCGAGTAGCACCGTAAATATCACATGTGACATCTTAATCGCGTCGCGTATATTATTCGGCATTAATCCTAATCTCGGCGATATATTCTGCGAGACGAATCTCACTGACTTGCGATAATTTGCGAACAAAATGTAAATTTTTAATTACGTAATGTTTCTATTACTCGCCTCTTCTAAAATAACAGTTTATATATAAAACAACTTTTCATAAATTTCTTCTCTCATAAGTCAGCCTGAAATTACAAGTGCCACTTCTCAATTTTTAAAATGTATTTCTCATCTTTTTTTCATGGAATTACTTTTGAATCTTTGGGATTTCTTTCAATTTTGCGTTAATTTTTTTGTATTTGTTTAAAAAAATGACAAATTATATTCTTGACATGTAACGATTTTTCATATTATTACAAATTAAATACGTCGGTATAAATTGAAGTGACGAACGTATATTATAAGATTTATTTTACATTTTCAAAATAACTATTTAATAATTTATTATCAGAGATTAAATCACGTGAAACTAATTAGTATTAATTATATTATTAGTAATTAATTAATTGTAATACTAATTAGTATTAATTGTAAGTTGTTGTTTCATAATTGATATAGATAATTGGCTTTCGCATCTTTAACCATGACTGTAGTTTTTTGTTCGCGTATAATCTGTCCGTATAACTTATATTTAACTCGTCTCCTTTTAGAGTTGCGCAAACAAAATTTTAAATGCAAAACATCTGACTACGATTAAGATTGAAAAAGTCTCACTCAGAAACACTTTTTAATTGACTGTTTTAAATCTTATCGAAAGTGATCGCCAAATGGAATTCAGCTATTATAGTAACTTAAATCTCTGAAATAATCTTTTTAAACTTTTATATTACGAGATAGTATTCGAGGTCTTTCTTTAAAAGGGGGATCGTGAATTTTATGATATACACGAGATATTTCAAGGATTCAAGGTGGTACAGATGTATCAAAAGTTTGCGAGCTTTTAGTCCTTGATATTAGCTCGTTGAAACGACGTGTCTTAAACAATCTGATATCTGATTTCGTTGAGCGACTCGCCATGCAAAATCTCGGCAAGATCGCAAGAGCGAAGTCATACTGTTAGATCACTGTTAAATCTTTAGATCTTTGAAGCAACTCGGGGAGGGGGGGAGGCGTTTCTCACGAGGGGGTTACGCCGTGTTAAAATGTGTTAGATAAACTTCATCTTAGCGAAAAAGGGAGAGGGGGAGGGTTAAGACAGCAGGGTGCGAGGAATCGGCGGGAGCCGGCGAAGGAGAACAGAGAGCAGGGCGGTGAGCGTCGATACGAGAGTGTCTATTTACGAGTTGTCCGGCGCCGTGATGTCCGGAGTAAAAATACACGGCTTAGAGTCCGTACGCCGTGCGCGCGCACGCGCGCGCGCGCGCGCGAAAGCCGCGCCGCGCCACACAACCCTCTTATAATTCTCAAACGCACGCTAGCGCTCTTTCGGCTCTCGGTAGCTCAACGCCCCTCCACCCCAAGCGCCGCCGTTCTCATCCCTTCCACGGCGCTCCTCGCGGCCCGTAACAGCGGCGGTGGGGCGGTGCGGCGCGACTCCGCTCCTCTTATTGGACTGTGGCCAACCGCGTCTCTAACTGAGAGCGCCGGTTACCGATAGAGAGCTGCGCTCATAGAGCTATAGGGTGCAAAGCGCACAAAATTGTGCGTCGTTGCTATACGACGTTGTGCTTCGCTACTCGATATGTTTTTATCCCTGGCGACTTGTGATAAAATACGATGAAGAAAAGTAAAGAAAGTACGTTAAATTTCGCGATTATTATGGTAACAGTACATATAGATTCTGCAAATGTTTAGAGTTTATCACAAAAGTGAATAGTATGAGACACACTATATTACACAAAAAATATATAGAATACATCTAATTTTTTTTCTTCGACTCTAATATATAGCAAGTTTGAGAAATATATATGTAGATCCTTAGTTGCCGAATACGTAGATACAACTTAAATGTCAATACATTTTTCAAATAAAAAAAATTGAATATGTAAACATTTTTTCTAAAAAAATGTATAATGTATATATTGTAAAATATATTGTAAGAAAAACATGGAATTTACTTTTACGATATCTTTCAAACTTTTTCAAAATAGTAACGAATAGAAAATAGTAGAAATCATTATGTATGACAATATAAACGTCAAGAAGAAACATATTCTTTTTCATAAATAAAATATATAAATATATTTCCAAGTAATTCTTTGAATAAGGATAAACTGAATAGATAACTAGAATAGATCGTAAACTCGAAGAATCTCGATTTATTTACTTAGGCCATGTATTCTCTTTTATTCTCTTTTATAGCTTTTAAAAATGCTTTATAAGCCTTCTGATTGGCTATATAAGCCATACATTTGGAGGCACTTTTATCGATAAAAGAGAATTTGGAATATCGGCATTAGAAAATTGATTCCCGCAACTTCTGCTTTGCCTAATTACGTACTGTCCAAATAGTTTCGATTTGATTAACAATCGATCGAGCACGTTGAGTCGACGTGGTGTTTACAAACGCATGCCCATTGCAAGGCAGGTACGCGTCACGCCAGGTACGTCTGTCGTCCGGTGTGTAGGTGCAGAAATATAATCGCGCATGACGTCACACGCGCGTGCTGTGCAAAACAGACTTCCTCTCGTTTCTTTACCGTTGTGTCCGAATTGTAGCGCGGTAAATTCGCCGACGACGAAAAGTATTATACTTTATAAGCATATCGTTCTACCAACTTAGACTCGAGTACATCCGATAAAAAATGGTTCATTTTATTTAAACAATAAAACACGAGGAGGAATCATCGACAATACGACATTTGTTTGATTAGGATAAATTGTGTAGATGATAAAAAACCTCGGAGGTAAATAATCATCTGATTGCGCAAGATTGAACTATCGAAAACTTGCCGATTAAAAAGTATCAGATATTACGCAAACAATTATTAGTAAACTGTTATTAATAATTTATTCATGTAATATTTAAATTTATCTATAGAATATTTATCTGTATACAAATAAGTTTCCAACATTGGTTTGTTTTATTTGAACGATAAAACAGGATCGGGAATACAGAATCCATTTTGATTAGAGATCAATTTATGAAATCTTCGGGTGATCAAAGAACCCTTGAAATAAAAAGTCACTGAACATGACACGTGCAACATCGAATAGAATATTTACTTCTGATAAACGTATTCCTTCTTTCGGAATAAACCTTACCTTGAATGAGAATGACTATTCTTTTTAATTGCGCGCTTCTTCTTTATTCATAAATCCGTCTCATTCTGTCATGCGAAAAATGATAATTTCCCTGATAGTTTCCCGTTAATCTTCTTGAAATTAATTCAAAGTGCGGATGACGTTTGTGAACGTTTATCGCGAGCGTTTTCTCTCGCGCGTACAATAAAAAGATCGGCAGAATTAAAAGAAACGGCTTTATTTCGGGCGTTAAAACCTACGCTCTAACCTACGTCGCTTCGTCGCTTCGCTTCGGTCTTTTGAATGGGAATATTTTTAGCACGCGCCTACTATATGTGGATAACTGTACGCGCCGCGCCGCGTATTCAGTTTCCGCGGATCGAGCGGCTTAAGCGAGCTTATTAAAGTGTTCGATCGAAGTGACATCGAAACGGAAGCCAAATTTCGCACAATCACACAATCGACCGATGGAGTCCGAATAAATGTGTTTTCTATGGACCGATCATGCACCGATCATGCACCGATCATTCGTCCGACGCTACGCGTTGAGTTTCGGATCTAGTTTTGTATACCATGGCAAGAATACCGTGGAAATGTATGAAAAATGCTTAATAAATATAAATATTATCTATTTTATATGTTGACTTCTTTTTATCTTTCTATCCGAATCGAAGATTACATCATACGAATTATATATCAGTGAAGCAATATCTCTTTGAAGATATCTCTGAGGTATAAGTGATCACCTTCTTTCATTTCATAAACTAAAGGAGATAGATCTAACAAATATAATATTATCCAATAACCAAATAGATTCAAATGAGAGTTTATTAGTAATTGACATGTAATATATTGTCATAATTATAGCCAATCGCTAATGCGAAAATCAAAAGTCAATGCAAAAGTCAAAAGTTGGTCACATCACAAGGTCAAAAAGATAGTAGTCATTTGCGAAAATTCGAATCGATAAAGCTTGTATAATTTGTAACATAATTTTGTTATATTATACATTGCATTCGTTAGGAAGAATGCTACTAAAACTTTTATTATATAGCAATATTTACATTACTGTGGAAAAATTATGTATGCCTTTCCATTCTTTAACATGAGACATAATTTTTTTCAATGTAGATAAGGATATCACGATAACGTGAAATTATTTAATTTGATATTATATTTATTAAATTTATCTCTTTTTAATGAAATAAAAGGAAACGGATATTTATACAAGGATATACATATTTAATATTGTGATTGATAACGAAGATTAATTTCATTTGTACAACCTTTTTTAAATCGATATTTTAGTTGATTTAGGTCTCTGTTCTAATAATTTTAATGACAAATAACATTCTTACATCGCACCATATTTATTTAATCTGCCATTCCACATTTATCTATTCATTTGCCTACCTTATTCCATGTTAATAAAATGCTTTGGAAAGAAGTGAACGAATCAACCGGAAGTAATTGAACTTGATAACCGTCTATTCAAAACCCGATTAAAGTCTCATTTGTGAACTTTAATCCTTGTCGTTCCTTCAGGTCCGGATTATCTCTAATCTCTCCCTAAGTCTCCTTTAAATGCCTGTTTTTTTTAACGCCTTATCTCAATCGCTAATATCAGTCATATTTTTTTATAGTCACATCACACGCACCACGACATGGGAGGACCCGCGGAAAACAGCCGCAGCTGCGAGCGTGGCCGCGGTAGCCGCTGCCGCAGTCGAAAGCAACAAACCCAACTCGCTCGGTCCATTACCTGACGGATGGGAACAGGCACGCACAGCCGAAGGCGAGGTATATTTTATCAATCATCAGAGCCGCACCACCTCCTGGTTCGATCCGCGAATTCGTAAGTATTCAATTGAATCCTTACTTCTCCCAAATCCTGTAAGATAGATACGATATGAGAATAGAATGATTTCATCAACAATTCGAACATCTACATCACACTATTAAATTGACGAAATATCTTTTTTGTTGCTGTTAATGTAGTTTCAAAAATTTGTTTCACTTGAGAGAAATTTTTCTTAACTTATTACGATTGTAAATTACTTTTATAAACACGCCAATTGTTGAATAATTTTCAACGCTTATTTTCTATCTGATTAGTCTAATGGAATAATGTTATTTTTTTCAGCCGCGCATCTCCAAAGAACTCCGGCATCTGGCGCGATGTTGCCGCAAAATTGGCTTCAGCAACCAACTGGCGGCCTTCAAAATAACCAGAACGCGGTCTGTCAGCAGAAGCTTCGCCTTTACTCGTTGCACCAGGAACGTGAACGCCTGAAGCAGCGGCAGGCTGAAATCATGCGTCAGGTTGGCATTGTTGTTCATTAATTTCTCAATCGCGTTGCGATCTGGAGACTTGATTGCATAACATTTGTAACTATTCTTGATATCATATACAAGTGCATCTTTTCTATCATTGCAGCAAGAAATGATGCGACTTAGTATCACGGATGCCGCCATAGATCCGTTTGTGTCAGGCATTAACGAACAACACGCGCGCCAGGAGAGCACCGACAGCGGCGTAGGACTCGTTTCTGCATATTCCCTGCCTCATGCCTCAGAAGATTACGTCATCGATGAGAATATGGACGGCACGAGCGGTAAATGCGGCTTATTTGAAATTCTCGATTCTTTCAATTTTTTTGTGCACGATTTTCGAACTTCATCGCCATCATCAAGCTTATCCTACTAAAAGAAATATTGTCCGTTTGCTTTGCTGTGCCATGTGAGGTCATTTTTCGATTTAAGAATAATTATTTTGCGCGATTATTCCGATTGCAGAAAGGCACTGTGCGTTGAATGATCTTACGAAACGATTATACCGAAGCCATAAATACATAAGTACGTATTTAAAACAATATGATGTTTAGTTTAGTCATACTTTGAATCTGATGAATTTTTGCAGACGGGGGTGCGCCAATGGAGACGCCGGATTTATCGACCTTGAGCGACAACATCGATTCACCAGATGATCTTCTGCCATCGCTTCAGGTAAATTTTTTGACACGCTGAGAAAAGTCGGAAATCTAATTAAAATCTGTCGCATACAATTTTGTGTATCCACAATTGTTTCAGCTGAACGAGGAATTCAGTACTGATATTTTGGACGACGTGCAGTCACTCATAAATCCTAACACGACCAAGCCGGAGAACGTGCTGACTTGGCTATAGGATTAGAAGTGATAGCGGTGATTGCGGTGGAGGTCTGATCAGTCTTTAAAAGGATAGGTATTCAGGTTTTCGAAGTGGAAACTATTCAAATCTACGTAGTCTGCGATGAAGTTAATTGCATCATTGATGCTTCTCATTATTTTTAATATCTCTTTAATCAATGGTGCAATTCCTATTTTTTTTTTAATTCTGTAGTGGATTAGACTATACTAGATTATAAGAGTAGATCTAAGTCCCTTCGAACCTAAACACCTATTTCTTTCTTTGTTTCTTCTATTTGGATTTTTATAGAAATATATTGCCACAATAATAATCAGGATACTTTCGAAACATTTTTTTCTCACTTAAATTTTTTGTAATATACGCGACATGAAAAAATAGGAATTAAATCCGGACGTTTTACTCGATAGATAATGATTTTGAACGTTAAGCGATTTTAATATTTCAAAAATATCAAAACTATCTAAACTATATAAACAAAAATATCAAAAAATTTCAACAATCATGTATTCATATATGCGTGCAAATATTCTAAATAATATATAAATATATAAGTTTTATATTTAAGGAGAGTGTTTAGATAGTTTAATAGTAAAGCGCTTATCTTTTAAAAGATTATTTTGTCACTTTGTATATGTTATAAAAAACTTCAAATAGAAAAATATGTCCATGTAGTAGAAGCAATGAAATCAAAGCAAATTTAATATTTTAATATTTTGTAGTATTGTGGTATGTTTTGAAAGACGAAAATCCAAATAGAAAAATGTTTTTATTTCTTTGTATGTCGTTTGAAGAAAGGAAAAGAAAAGGCAGAAAGAGTGAAGGAGAAAATAAAGGACTATGTTGCGAACTTGATTTATTAATGATCCCATTAATTATTATCAATATATCAAGCCCTTTATTTTCTGCTTCATATCTTTATTCGTTAAATATTATTATATTTTATATATGCAACGAAAATTCTTCTATTCCGTATTCATATTCATACTCGGCATAAGATTTTAATTTTGTTAGTATCAAGTGATTATACAATATTCATATCTCTAGCTCGTAATGTTATGATTTTTACACGGTTTTTAAACAATTTAGATATAAAAAGTTAATTTAGAGAATTTATTAATCGATTATAAAAATTTAAACGTTTTAAAACACTTGATAAAAATATTTGACAAAAATATTTCGATATTTTCTAATGCAAATCGATTTGCTTCATATTTTTGCGTGAGGGATTGGTACTATTTATATCTTGAGTGCATGTAATTATGAAAATTGTTATTACAAATGTTATCAATTATAATGAGATTTATTTGCTTTCATTGATTTTTTAATTTATATAATTCTGATATATTACAGATGTTTTTGTATAATTGCATTGATAGTCTGGAAATGTAAATTATCACTGATGAAGTTCTTCATGTTGTTATCTCGAGATTGCTGATCTTCGAAATGATGTAGCCGAGCAATACTAATATGTACTGGACGAAGAGTGAAGAGTTTTTAAGATGAGTTTTTAAATGCTTATATATCAAGCATCGATATGACATACGGAATATGATATACGGAATCATATAATATTCAATGTATGAAGAGAAGGAAGCTGTTTAAAAGTCGCCAATTTTGGGATACATGTATTACAGATCATCCTGAAGAGAACGTTTATGAGCGTTTGTAGTGTAATTTTTTACGAACAATATGCTTAAACACAGAGTGCCTTGTCTTTAATCAATTAATGTGACAATTCATTACTCATCGTTTTTTGCTGCATTAACCGTCCATATGAAATATATAAATGTAGCTATTAAAAGTGAGCAAGACGTTTTAGAACACTGGCTGAATATTTTAGCCGTGAATAAAAAATGAGAATATATATATTTTTTTATATGTAAAGTCTATACTCTTGTTACAAATTGCAATTATATTGATATTTTTCGAGAAATGCTGTTAGATTGTAAACTTTTCACTTACGTTTTATATATATTATCATACAATTATATATAATAGAGATTGCCAGAACGAGAAGAGAATATCTCTGACATACAGATTTATCTAAATATCTTTTATCTATAAGAAGAATCTTCGTATTTTTCATATTTCTAGCAAAGAGTGCTGGAATAGCGTGGAAAAAATGGCCGGTAACATTGAATTTTTCGTTATCTTTTGTGAATTAATTCTCGGCCTATTTATTACCGGAAATCAAAACATTTTCAATGAAGAAGATAATGCGTATACGCAAATACGAAATTCAAAGCCACATTATTTGGATTTATTTATTACTTAAGAGTAATTCTTAATAAATAAATCCTAAATAAAATATATCTTCTTCAAAAAAGTCTTCTGAAACTAATTAAGGATTACATATGGCAGCTTAGAACATATGCAAAGAGGAAATTCATGCGACTATTTCTATTAAGCTACTATCATACTATGCACAATTCATAATTCGCTACTCATATATATTTACTATTCGTGAATAGTAAAAATAGTGAAAATAGTGTAAATTTAATGAGTTTGTACATGTTATTTATGAGTCAATTTATTGCGAAGTAAAGGTCTAAGTTTGACAAAGGTTAAAGGATCAAATTATTATTATAAATCAAATTATTAATTCATAAATATAATTAATTCTATAAATCTATTTTGTTACTGCGAATTACGAATTATCGCACATAGTTTAGCATTAACTTTAGCAAGTGACAATATTCGTAAATAGACTGACATCGAAAAATCTATGCTTCTCAATACGTGAAGATTGATGCAATCTGACAATAAATATAACATCCATAAACAATGGAAAGAAATACGTAATTTGTTTCTAGCGTTTATGACTATTACGTAGTATTTGTATTTATCTTAACATTCGCACGTTGGCCGCGAATTCGAAATAGTCGCGTGAATTACTCATCTCTTTTGTATATTAAGGACATTGACAATCATGTAAAATTTTTTGTAATATCGACTCTCTCGGTTTTTCCCGTTGTCAGGAAAAATCTCAGAGAACCGAGGAAAATTTACATTTCGTTATTCGCACGCTCCTGCGTTGATATTTATTTCTTTCAACTGGTTGGCCGTGCGAATACCGAATTTTCAACCTCCTGGTTTTTTTTTCTTTGTAGGTAGTAAAAGAAAAGCGATTGTGTAAATGTTAATTTGACATTTATGTTATTTTGTGTATTTTTCTGCCGAAACTCTGGAAGGCTGAACGTCACACATGTCGTACACGGCGAGAAAATGTGATCCTTCTTATTTTACATATATAAATTTGATCTTCCATGTGCGATTGTATTCGAGACGTTTTTAATACTGTTTTATATCTGATTAAGGATATGTGTTTTGAGTTTTATTCAGTTTTGAGTTTCTCTTTTATTCGCTTCTTTCTATCTCAAAAATATAATTTTATTCAGCTGCTTTTAGTTTTATTTTATTCGAATTTGCCGTGCTTCACGATTTATAGCGACGTCCCTTCCCGATCGGCGTTAAAATTGATAACGTTACTCGATATCACGAACGTCGATCCGACCGACAGTCTTCCAAGAGCGTCATGGAAATCAAGCGCGTTTAATGTATTATTTTAATTACGATTTAACGATTAATATTTACCATAATGTATCTTGCTTTTAGTCTAAACTCAGTGTAGATTACGTTCTGGGGAGCATCGCAACATAAAAATTTACATAAGTGCCTTCGTATCGGTAATGTTTTCAAGATGAGAACATAAATTCCGCAATCTACGTCGATTAAGGTGCGTAGAGTAGATTTTTAAATCGTAATTCCCCGCTTAGGCTGCGCATTTGCGTCTATAATATCTGAGATTATATACAAAAGCAAATAGTTGTTTAATGTCAGTATTTAAATATGCTCATTGGCAAAAAATTGTGACATACATTTTTATATCGATAACAAGTGCCTATAGTAATAATGATAACAATAAATATTATTTACTTACGTATCAACAAATGTATATATTTTTTCACATTTCCCATTTAGTGGTCTCAAGTATTCGGATGTTTAGATATCAAGATATTCAAGTTTCGACTCGAAAATTCAAAACCGCATTATTTGGATTTATTATTTATTATTTAAGTAATTTTTAATAAATAAATCCTAAATAAAAAAAATATGTCTTTTTTCTCAAAAAATTCTAAAGCTAATTGTTTTTTACAGCTTACTATTTTTCGACTCTTCGTACCTCAAAGGAGAATCGGCGCTCAATATAATCGACGCATTCTGCGAGAGTTTCTTTTCCTTTACGCTCATAGTGATATTATATTCAATATAAGTATGTATGCTTTGCTGAAAATACAAACGACCAGGAATTTCGAAATTTTAATAATTTTTAGACCTGGATGTAAATGTCAATGCGAAACGATAGTTAACAAATAGTTTAGTCTCTCGTCTGATATTATAAATGTTTGCATCTAAACATCTCGTTAAAACGTCGCCTCTCGAAAGATTCTTATATATTGACTTAATAATTATAAAAAATGTTTATTGGATAAGTGAACAAGATACGATACAATATATCTTGTGATTCACTCGACTTGCACTCAGTGACTGCCAAAATCATACTAAAGACTCACCTCACGCGAGCTCGTTCTTTTTATTTAGAAAGAACACACATAGGCTGCTTTTCAGCAGAAAAAGCAACTTTGCAACTATTGTAAAATTTTTTATATTGTAAAATTCTTTAATATAATTGGTTTATACATTTAGATCCATGAGGAACTAATAGCAAAAACTAATCATATCAAAGATTTTTACACAGTTGCAAAGTTGATTTCTCTGCTGAACGCAGCCATACACACACACACACACGCACACACACACACACACACGCACACACACACACACACACACACACACACACACACACACAAAATTATACAACTTTACGAAATATGTTCTTTGTCTCGCCGCTTTCGACTCTCGATTTCCGTTTACATCAATCGCTTCCGATTTGCACTTAGAACTTTTCCGCACAATTCTCAGTCACTCTCTTACATACATACACACATGATTATATGACTCTCTTATTTGTGTCACCGCTTTCGATACCGCTCTCGATACTGCTTATATCAATCGATTTACACAGATCTTTTCCGCTCAATCCTACTTTGAGAACTATTTCATTGAAACTGAAAATGGTGTTGAAAATCTTTCAAAGTGCCCTACGCTTTGACGCGTCACTATGCGCACCAATTTGACGAACTTGGCGAACAATTCATATATTGAAGCATGCTGTCGCTCAAACTTTTATGAAAATAAGTCCAAATTTCACTTCTCATATCTTCAATTGAGTTTGGATAACATCTAATAGCGAATCTATAATAATAGCGAATCTATTTTTGAAAGATTGCAGATAATTTTATTTGTTAATTTATCTATCTCTTTATTGTTAAGCTTGCGATGTCTTTATTATTTTTTTAGCATTTTTTTTAGCATTTTTCAGAATCCATAAAGATAGGTAAAGATAGATAGATAAAGATTTTAAGTCGTATAAGTAGTTGTAGCTATTATAAAGGAAAAGGAATCGGACCTTCGTATGACTCAGTAACGATATTTCAGGTGATACGTTTTTAAATTCAATTTGCTTCTGCTCCGTCAATTTTTTTCTATTTCTTTTAAAACCTTACGGAAATAAGCTTACCTAAATATACATATATATTTTGAGAAAATGAAGTAAAAAAAATGATAAAAAAATTTTTTTTCAAGCAATTCTTTCTTTAAGGAGATGCTAAGTCATCTACACATTACCGACAGAATCCATTTTTTTCGTAAAAACTTTTTTTATTTATTATTTTTATAGATTTGGAAACGTTTTTCCAAAAGTAAAGTAAACATTGTTTCTTATTCATCAATTTTTGAGGCAAGAAATTCGATGATGCTTAAAATTCGCAAGACAAGTCACTACGCTACATGTGTCGATAATACACGGTGTGATGTCATTTTTTGACATTAAAAATATAGAATATCTTATAAAAATATTATTAGTGCAGATAGTTTTATTTGTTAATTTATCTATCTCTTTATTGTTAAGCTTGCGATGTCTTTATTATTTTTTTTAGCATTTTTCAGAATCCATAAAGATAAGTAAAGATAGATAAAGATTTTAAGTCATATAAGTAGCTGTAGCTATTCTAAAGGAAAAGGAATCGGACCTTCATATGACTCAGTAACGATATTTCAGGTGATATTATATCAAATATTATTAGAAAATATCAGACGCAATGAAAAATTACGTGCGCCTGTACGAATATGTCGAACTTCTACCCGATAATACACCATATTTATCTCTATCATGGTTGGCGTCTTTAGAATATTGATTCGTCGGAGATTTATTGATTTCATTTATATGCATTTTAAATCGTTAATGACTTAATGATTTTTTTTTAAAGAGAATATATCATATTGCTCTCTCTAAGAAAAAGATTATTTTGTATAAAAGTCGAAGAAAGCAGTACTTGCATATTATATAAGTATTACTTATAAATAAAGAAATAAAACATGTAATATAATAATATATATAAAAATGTCATTAATATCGGTTTTTTGTACTAAAAAAAGAAAACCAGAAAATAGAGAGGAAATTCGTTCAAAAAATCAAAGTCCCTGCCTAAAATTTGGAAACATGGCAATCATAATCGTAATATGTAAATTTTCTGTGGTATTTAATATTAAATATAATATTTTTATAAAATATTCCATCTTTTTAAACTAAAACGTGATATCACATTGTGTTCCATCAATACATGTAACAACTTGTCTTATGAATGATTGTAATATTATTCCAATTTAAACTCAATTTTTTATGTGCCCCATCATTGTGGCGTAATTTTAAGTATCACCATTGAATTTATCGATTCGTCCGATCCATTGGGTTTCTCTCCTCAAAAATTATAAGAAATGATGTCTATTTTATTTTTCTCGAGCATACCAAAATCAAGCCTTTTCCTAACATCCTTCTTTATGCGTGCGTTATGTACTTGTATGCACAAATGTACATATAAGTACATGTATATGCATACATAAATATATGTATGTGTATATTCCGTGAAGTTCCGTGAAGTACATTTTCGTATCTCCCCATATAACATCAGCTAGATCGGACGAATCGATAAATTCAATGGAGCAATTCGATTTCTGCCAACTGGCTATCATATCGAAGAAAAAAATAAATCAACAAGAGAATTGCATCGAGCATAAACGAATCTTTTATCGTTCGCCTTACAATTAACACTTTATTTTTCTATATAAAAAGTTGCGTTTTTTATCAATAATATCTAAAATTTTTTTTCGCGAGAGCCGTACGAGTATGAGAGTGTTACGAATGCGGGTAATCTGTCGTCGGAGGACTACCTCGAATGTAACATTTTTGGGAAAATGGAAAACTTAGGGAAAATGAGAAATTTGGGAAACTCGTTCGAGAAATATGAAAAGTACGAAAAATATGAAAAAAATCAGAGAAAGAGGACGTTATACTGTCCACAAGAGATTGAGAGAGATTATATTTCGGAGCCCATCTCAAAAAGGGGTAGTCCTTCAGGCCGCGAAAGATTCGGCAGCTGTGTGAAAAGCAACAGCAGAGGCAGATCGACTAGCGGTTTCTTTACAGAGCAAGCGGAGGAGCGGTTTCTTGCCCCTGCAGGTATAAAAAAGGCTTTGCGGAATGACAAATAATCTGGAAAGCCTTTGGAAAAGTTGTCGTGATTATTTCAGTCCGTTTGCTTCGTTTTGCAAAACGGAATTTAAATATGTGCGGAAGTGTACTCCTATGAGAATTTCTTTTTCACAAATTACTCTGATTCTCGAACGAATTGTTGGGATGAGGAGAAAAAAAGTATCGTTCTAACTATATAAAGGAATAAGATCATTTGGCATTAGAAAGTATACAAAAATACTTTTGATAGTTTAAAATGTGTAGAATTGAAATTTAAAGTAAAGGCGTTTTGGAGAAAATCAGTTTTTGCAGAATCATTATTTTCAATTTACAAAGAAGTCTATTTCGGCTTTATAATTTTTGATTCTGATTTTTACAGAATGTAGGGCACAACATCTTGGGCAGACCTGAAGGAATCCTTAAAAAAGATCAAAGGTTGGGAGAAGGGGAGGATTAAAGATCTATAGAATCTTTCTGCCTCTGAAGATTTCATCAATCAAAAAATTAATGATAATATTGTCTTTCAAAAGATCGACATCCGAAGAAAATCTACGGAAGAAGAAATTCTGAAAAAGAAGAAAGGAAAAAGAGAAAAACGAAAGGACGAAGAGAAATCATCAAACGTTAACCTGCTTGATAATCTGCAACAGCAGTTCAGGCTAAAGCAAAGAAACATTCCTGAAGATGACAAGAAAGTTGGAGAAAATTTCGGTGGAAAGGAAGTCGAAACGATAACTAAAAGATACATAAGTTCCTATTCCTATCGAAAGATTGGACAAAATAGTATATGTGTGTGTGCATGTATGTATTTAAAT